CCCCAAAACCCCAAAACCCCAAAACCCCTTACTATTATAATTTATTGAATAAACATAAAGGTATGAACTTGTGTACATCCTATCACAATTCCTATTGGAAGGAGGTTAGCGAGGATGGGAGAGGCACTATGAGCCTCTCCAAGGATGAAAATCTGGCAGATACTCCTTTAGAGGGTCTTTCTCTGTATTACTTTGGGTTTTCAATATTCTTACCAATTAGGTAGCAAAAGACCTTTCAAATTTCAAAATATTTAGTTTTGAAAACTGATTATGTAAATTATTGATTTTTAGGCTTCAAATTAGGTTTGGCTACTCTTAGAAATTTTAAATAGTTAAACAATTGAGTTCTGAAGTATAGCTCTTGATTTTAATATCCAAGGTTCATCGTATATTCTAATATTAATAGCCTTGAGTCGATGTCACATTTCCTAACATCTGACGATATAATTGATGTATTTTAAAGATTTGGAATGAAATGAACTACTTTAATAATTAATCCTCGAAAACATTTTAAGCTATTTCAAAAGCAAATTTAAAATCTGGTTATTTGTAGTAAAATCCGTTTTTACAGAATGCTGGCATTTTCTAAACTAAATTTCCCTGAAAAACTCTCAGCCGCTGATATAACACAATAGTTTAGAGGTTGATGGAAGAGGGCACACCTTACAAGAACATCCAGATAGACTCCCAGCCAATGCAAAAGGACATCTCTAGTGTTCAATTCAAGATAGCAGATATGGTAGAGGAGCAGAAGAGGCAAGATAATGCTGAAATCTTACAAAAAGTTGCTGTTAAAGCTGGATTTAGTAAATAGCACTGATAAAAATAACTCTGATTGTGATGCTAATGTTAATGCAAAAGGAAGCCTCAATTGTAATCCTGAGTTAAACTATCCCAGCTTTAGGATTGAGGAAAAGAAGTCTTATATTAGCAGCCAGGCAAGTAAAAAGATTGGTATCTCACAAAGAAGCAGTCAAAGATCAAGAGGGAACCGGAAGAGACATGGTGACATACCTCAACCACAAATAGAAGATCCTGATGAATCTGATGAGGAGTCTAAAGTCCAGAATCAGATTCAATCTCGAAGTGCTTCTGATATTTCTCAATCTGCTGTATCTCAAAATGAAGCAAGAAGCAACCTTGAAAACCTGGATGCGTCTGAAGTAGCGGTGGATGATCCGGCCTTTGAGGTTGACGATATTTTCATAAGAAGGTTTCGGATAAAATCAATCAAATATTACCTAAACTATTTCATAATTTACTTACTAGTATATTGTATCCAAGCTGGGATCATCACTCTCAGAGTCAGGTTCTACAAGAAGGATCAAGTGGAGTATACTTTATTCCCACCTTTACTGTTGTTCATAGTCAGAGCTATCTATTTCCTTTGGGCACGAGTACAAGCATTTCTGGAAGAAGCAGAATTCAGATGAATCTTAGAGGTATTTTACTGTGCTTGATGGATCGTTGCTCTAATGACGGCGGTTATCTGGTCTCTAACCGATCGTGCGTTTAATATAATGTTTTGCATTATCCCTCTGGTCTTAAGTATTATGGTCTTCCTTTGGACATTAAAGTGGCCAGAAAGTCCTCTTCAAAACTTGGCTCACATCATCAGAGTGTATGGAGTAGGGTTAAGAACACCCCTGCTCTTTTCAATCTTATTGAAGATTGGAGGAGTTGTCAGTTGGAAATGGGTCACTTGTCTCTGGGTTTACTGGTGATGGTATGCTGTGTCCGTAATCTTCAGCTGTATGATATTCGGACTCTTCCTCTACTGAGTAATAATGGTTATAATATGCCGTTACTCTTGGCACGTAATAGTTACATCCTTTTGGACATTTTATGTAATGGGAGGTCTTTCTGCGACCTCTTTCATAATAGTGTTTCATATAATAATCACTTATGATTACAAATATAAAGATAACTACACCGCTCAGGAGAGATCAAAGATGTCTGAGGAGTTCACCTCCGTAAAACTTCCTTGGTCGAAAGAATTTCCCGTTCTGTTACTCTCAATTTTCCTTCTAAGCTTGCTGATCTTCACTCTATTGAGTTACAAACTTCTAATTATCTGGATCGAACGTTTGTTCTATCCTGACAACTTGAACAGAGTGTTCATGCAGAACGAAGAGATGGATGACCTCATCGATGAAGAAATTGAGGTGAAATCTTACAAGTTTCAGGCCCCAGGCCTGATCAAGAAGATTACCAGTACCTACTTTATTAAGAGCAAGAAGGAAGACATGGAAAGAATCAAGAAGAAGTTGTCAGGCCTTATTAAGAAGTATAAATAGACAGGAATCTAAGTGCACAGTTGACCTTGAGAATATGCTTCGAGATCGTGACTTTGAAGTTACTAGAAACCGAGTCGGCAGAGCTATAGAAGAAGCCAAGGTCAATAATACAACCCAGATGAGTAATATAGGTTAGTTTTTAAGAGCTAATTTTGTAGTTCATACTCAAGAAGACCTCTTCTCGTATGATATCAGCCAGATTGTTGTTGACAAAAAGAGAAAGAAGAATGATAAGGCTCTCCATCTCTCAATGGCATCTCCTAAAGAGATCCAAAAGTGATACAAAAAGTTTGTAAAAGAGAATAATCTTCGTGAGGTATCCAATTATAGCCTCTCTTCAAAAATTGAATCTAAAACAGATAAGGAGACCTATGAATGCTGAGTCTGCTACACCAACCCACCCAATGGTGTATTCTTTGCTTGAGGTCATGCAGGCATTTGTTATGAATGAGCTGTAGAAATATTCAAGAAGAAGGGGAAATGCCATTTCTGCAGAAAAGAGGTCAGCCTCGTCCTCCGAATCGAGCTCAAAACTGTATTCGATGAATATGTCTTAGTAAAAGCAGCTACATTCAATAAATTTCAGAAAGTCAAATTCGATAGCGAATATAGCATAGAAAGCGAGATGCCGTCGTATAATGAAGAAAGAAAGTCAAGAGATAGTCATACTATGAGAAATCAGGAAGAATCAAAAAGGCTTCCAGTTTATCACAGAAGTTCTGTGGATGAATCCCAGAGAAAGCCAGAACACTATAATGTATCGAAGGATAGACAAGAGATCTCAATTAGGGCCCTTAGTAATCAGGATTTATCTGTCAGAAGGAAAGAGGTATCTAGCAAACAGTCTAGGTGTCCATATAAAAACATGGTTCCGTCCAATACCTTGAGGTTTAGGCATAGTCAAAGGTCAATGGAGTTCTCAAAGGGAGGATTTACAAATAGAATAGCTAGCTTAAGAAAAACTTCCAACCGAAAATTCGAAGAAATCAAAGACAAAGAACTCGCAGATCATGGACTTAACCAAATTCCTAACCAGCTAGATCATGAATTCTTAGTAAAGATGTCTGAAAATAATGCTGGGACTTTTAGGAATAAGTTCATGAGTTCTAATCATTCAAACAAAAATTCTAATGTTAAGATGGACAAAATCCAGGTGATGTCAGAGCTGGATGAAATCGGAGGAGAAGAACTCTAAATATGCCCTAATTTTTCCATCCTACCCACACATACGGGGTTTTGGGGTTTTGGGGTTTTGGGG